GCATTTCAGGTTTTCCCTGTCCTTCACCATCTCCCGGAGCCTGCTCAAACTCATGTCCATTGAGTCAGTGATGCCATCCAACCATCTCGTTCTTTGTCACCTCCTTCTCCTCCTGCCTTCAGTCTTTCCCAGCATCAGGGTCTTTTCCAATGAGTCAGTTCTTTGCATCAGGTGGCCAAAGTATTGGAGGTTCAGCCTTAGCATCAGTCCCTCCAGTGGATATTCAGGATTGATTTCCTTTAGGATTGACTGGTTTCATCTCCTTGCAGAGATTTTTGTCTTCTTCTGATTTTTGTCTCTTAAATAACTGAGTGAGTTGAAATAGTCACTTTGAAAGAGCAGGATGGAGTGACATAGGAGAGTGTTGTCTTTGTTCTAATACTTTAGCACAGTTTGACTCTGCAAACATTTTTTGCACATGAGTTTGGGAAGATAAAAATTAACTGAAAGACAGATGAAAAGAAACCATGATAACAGTAAGGGCCTTCCCTTTTGAGATGCTCCCATCCTCTGAATTCTCCTTTTAAAACAGCAATTGGGGAACTTCCCTGGTGGTCCAGTGGTTAAGAATCTGCCTTCCAGTGCAGGGAACTTGGTTCAATCCCCAATCGGGGAAGTAAGCTCATGCATCACAACTACTGAGCCCTCGTGCTGGAGAGCCTGCATGCTGCAAGGAAAGATCCCACATGCCACAGCTGCAACTAAGGCCTGATACAGCCAAAAAAAAAAAAAAAGATTAATAATCTATGCAAAGAAAAAATCTGAGCAAACAACTCCACCCATCTTTTCAGCATCTCATAAAGTGCATCCTCACCCTGCAAGGCAGGTATTGATAAGGGCTCTTGTGAGGGTCAAAAGGGATGGTGTTTCGTAAAGCATGAAGTTGGCATGTGGTTTAGATTGTGGTTATCAGGCAGGACAGAAATAAATATCCCCATGTTGTACACAGGAAAACAGAGACCCTCCCCTCCACCCCAAACTTCCCACAACTTACCTGGCTCTGAGCCCCACCTGGAGGGAGATTAATGTGAGGGCCCTTGATGTCATCAAGGCTCGGTTCTCATTCTGACAGCACTCTGAGCACTGGCTTTGGTTGTAGACTGATCCCTGGTGCTGGTTGCAGACTGAGCTCCCATCACTGGCCACTAACTCCCTTAGTAACGTTCACAACCAAACCTAAGTTGGGCTTGGCCGAGAAGAATGGATGGCTGGGTTCCACTCCTCTCCAGTGCTGTCTAAGGGGCAGAGTTGGTGCAGCTGTGGCCTGGCTAAACTCTCTGGCATGGTTTCCCTTCATCCCAGACTAGATTCAAAGCCACCGCCTGTGCCCAGTACATTTCGGTCCCCTCCCACTGGTCCTCCTTGTGGGGGATGGTGGGGCCCATGGTACACTCTGAGCAGAGATTGTCTGTGATGAGTCATCCTTGCTCACAACAAAGGAGTCTGGCATGAACAGCACTTTTTCTGACTTCTCTGCTGCAAGGGAATAACGTCTCAAATCCATGTGTTCAAGTACAGCCTTGAACTGGCTGTTTCCCACCCTGGACTCTTCAATCCAATCCATTACCAGGGAAGCATTTCTCCAACATGATTTCCAGGAGTTCCCGGAACACTGGTTTGTTGTAGCTGCTTCTCTACACGTAGTGACCAGCACCTCCTCTGAGCATCCTCTATGGTCAGATAGGAAGCAAGGCTGATTTCAAACCCTCTCATCTCTTATCAGTCCCAGGAGAGGTGAAAGGTCAGGAAAGGGGCAGTGGCAGATGCTGGGCATGGGAAAGTTGGAGGGTGGGTGGGGAGACAAAGGGGATGGGTGGAGGGCAGGCACAGGATCATGGTTTTGATAAACTTGATTTACTACTGGGTCACAAATGTCAGGGCAGTCAGGAAGCTGAAAGACTTCCTCTCCTGCCCCTGTGTCAGACAGATGGAAAAATGAGGTCCCTGGCAGAGGAATGTTCCCAAGATCCCACAATGACTTGGGATCAGATTAGGGCCCCAAAGGGTGGATTCTTTATGCTGAGGATCAGCCTTGGGCAGATGGCACAGATTCCACAGCCCCTGAAGCCAGAATAGGACTCTTGAAGAAGGCCCTAGGGAGACAGAGGAAAGGCTCCAGGGAAGAAAGACCTTCCTGATGATCTGAATTGTCAGCTCTGGGACCTCTGGTTGGAGGGGACATAGGGTCACAGTTTCACATCACCAGATGCATGGCAAGATGCAAGCTGGACCATACTGTGGGAATGTGCCCACAGTGAGGGGAGCTTGCTTGCTCTCTTGGCCATGTTTCTCTTTGTGGGACTGAAACCAAGTTGTGTTCCTCACAATCCTAGGGTTCCTTTGCTTGACCTAAAGGTCTGCTGTCCTTTCTGAGCCCTCAAGATGCAGAACAGCTCCCATGAGCAGCCCCAGAGCTCTGCAGCTGCCTCTGGCTGGCCACCAGGCCCTGGAGACATAAGAGGCACCTGGACCCACAGTTAGAGTGTGTATTTGAGGAAGACAGTTGGGAGAGGGCCCCCTCGGTGGGTGTTTCTTCCAGGAACAGATTAGGTCAGAGGAAATCACAGGAGGTAGGTGTCCCTCCAAACCAAGGGTCTGCGCTGCAGCTTTCAAGTGGTGAGAGGCGCTTAGGCTCTTGCCTCAGTGCTCTTGCCCGGGCCTCCCGGATCCTGCCTGCCTGCGCACCGAAGCCTGTTTCGGGGCCTCTCCTGGCTGCATCCCCCTGGGGCCGGCCTTCCTGCACTTTCATTGCTTACTTGTCTCTCTGCCACTGGGCTGGCAGCTCTTTGAAAGCCAAATATTGCAGGGTGGTTTCTCCGGGAAGCAGACTGGCTCAAAGTATAGCATGCTGGATGCTCTTCAGGGAGCGCTCTGGAGACTGAGTGTAGAAGGGAGGGGAAGAGGCAGCGAGGGGCAGAGGGAGAAGCTGAGCTGTTCTGCAGGCCCCACCTAGCCCAGGCTCCTCACTGGGAGCTTGGCGTGGAGCAGCCCCGCACAGTCCCACACTGAGCTGAAGTAGCTGGGCCTTTGCACCCCAGCTAGATCAGTCTTTGGATACAGATCGCCCAGAGAAGGGCATGGCCCAGGGTAAAGCAAGTATCTGCAGCTGAAGCAATTCCTGGATGGGCTTGATAGCTACAGTCCTTGTGCCCTGGGCCCCCGACACCAAGTCCTTCCCTGAAGGGAAATGTGGGCATCACATCTCAGCGTCTACTGCCCTGTGTTCTTGTGGGCTTTTGAGGAATGCTAGCTGAAGGAATGAATAGATTAATTTGAAAGAAGACCTTGAAACATTTGGCCTTATTCTCCCCATCTACGAAATGGATATATCTTTGACACTCATGCTATAAAAGGCAAAGCTCGTCATAAACCCCAAGCTCATCTCATTGAAGGCTGCAGCCTCCCTTCTGTTCTCTCTCCTTTGACACCCCAAGGTTGGGTCTAGGGCCTGAGGGGTGGAGTGGGTAGTGGAGGGTAGGTGGGGTGGGCTTGGCAGTTTGTTGTTGCTGTTTTAGGGGAAACCACAGCTGCCTCTGGTTCAGGGCGGTCAATGAGGCCCAGGGAAGGGGAGGTTCATATGCAGGGCAGGCCTTGGGCACTGAGTCACCACCCAGAGGAAAACCACAGCTTCAAGAGCCCCAAGGCCCAAGGAAGGGTGGCAGATGAGCTGGGCGAGTGCCAGGTCTCAGGAGCAGGGATTTGGATAGCCTCCTTACTCCTAGGGCCAGCCCTGTTCCAGCTTGCAGGGCAGCACCTACCATATGCCATGATAAAGGCAGGCTGAGTCATACATTTCTGTGAAACAGGACACACCAAGAACAGAGTGACCCTGAAAAAGAACCATTTATCTCTAGTCTCCAGCTCCCCACTCTCTGGGGGAATGGGGGCAATTCTTGAATTCAAGAAAATTCTTCTAAGATATCTGAAGATTCAAAGACTTCAACTTTGCTTATATATAAATTTACCATCATTTTTAGGCTTCCCAAGTGGTTCAGTGGTTAAGAATCTGCCTGTCAATTCAGGAGCCACAGGAGACTTGGGTTTGATCCCCGGGTTGGGAAGATCTCCTGGAAAAGGAAATGGCAACCCACTCCAACGTTCTTGCCTGGAAAATCCCATGGACAGAGGTGCCTGGCGGGCTGTGAAGAGTCAGACATGACTGAGCAACTGAGCTCACATGTACCATCATCACTGTGGTCTAGAGAGGCTGCTTCACATTGCATTCATGTACTGATACCTCAGTAACTGTGAAATGTCTGGTTTTTTCTCTTTCTTCTTTGTAGGAAAATGAAATATTCTGAATTCTCATCTTGTGTGATGAAAGCTAAAACAAACAAGTGAACAAAGATAATGTGTCCAGACCGACTTGTTTATACCTTCTTGAAAGATACCTAATGCTTCAGACAGAGCAATAAGAAAACTGAAAGATGGTAGAATAGCAATGATTCATATCACCATTGAATTGCCTTCCAGGCAATTCCATCATTCTCTTGTTTTCTTATTACTTTAGTCTCTGTTTTTAAAAAGCATGATTGAGAATATAATGAGTGATGATGAAAAATAGTTCCTAAGAGGATGAAATAGCAAAATGTTTTAAGACCTAGGATATATTTTGAATTTACAAAGGATCCAATGGATCAATACAGTAATTGATATATTTTGGACTTATAAAGAATCCAATGGATTGTTTTGGTAATTGTAAGGGAGAACAAGCTTTATTCTATTAAAAAATAATTGAAATCTCTCTTTGGTTTTTGGAAGACCCCTGTGAAAGGATAAAAGTCATAAAATAATCAATTCTTATTAATAGTTAAAGCTGCTCAGAAAAGGAGCTTAAAAATTAAAATTCAGTCTGAATGACCTTGGTGGTATACTAAGAGTTAAAATAAAATTCCCCAAGGGAGATTTAGCTGAAGCTCCACTTTTACCTATACCCAAATAGGGAGGAATAAGCAGAGACTGTGAATTTGACATAAAATGAGACCCTATGCAAATGACAAATGACATGCAAAAAGATGCAAATAAATGAAGACAGTAGTGAGGGCCCTAGTGCTCTGGGTAGACATGAAATACTGGCTTCCTGTGGTTGGATGTTAGTTCTAAGAAGGCTGCCCTATCCTCCTCCTAGGGTCTTCCACATGGCCCCTCTGGCTGAGAAACTTAGGCCCAAAGACTGTTCTTGCTTCCCTGTTCCCTCTTCCAGTCATTTGCAGAGACCCCTGTGGCCCATTGGGAGCCATAAGACTTGGATTCCAGGCTCCCGCCACTTCCTTGCCACTCTGCTCTCCCTGCTGTGTGCACCCTGGGGCTGGAGTATGGTACTGGATTCAGTGCACTATGGAGTCAGGACAGCAGGGCTTGGTGGATAATTCTATGGCACCTCCTGATCCTTCAAAGTCTCTCCACTTCTCTTACACAGCCCCCATCCCCACCCCCATGCCATATGTTCAACTTTTCTCTTCCTCACAGCAGTATAAACAACAATAGTTTGCATGGACTAGACATCAGGCAAAACAGGGTTATGATCTTTGACAGATGGAGGACACTCAAAGTGAGCCCCATATTTAACCAACTTTCTTCCTGAGGCCATTTTCCAAACTGAGATGCAGCGAGCTAGACCAAACAGGAGGTGACATCTCAAAAAACAGGTTTTAAAATAAGTAAGGATAATATGTTAAACAGAATAGAGCAAAAGATGGACAAAATGGGTGAAAGCTTGAGTATTTAAAGAGAAAACTTGAATCTATAAGAATGAAAAAAATTGGTGTTTTAGATTGCAAAATATCTGAAATTAAGGACTCACTGAATGGGTCTAACAGGACATTGTATACAGCAGAAGACAAGATTCGTGACCAGTCAATAGATATTATCTGGGTTGAAACACAGGGTGAAAAAGAATTGAGAAATAAGCAGAGCTGAGCATAAGAGATATGTAGGACATGCTCAAATATTTGAATAAATAATGACTGAGAATTTCCTAAATATGATAAAAGGCATCAAGCCACAGATTCAAGAATATCAATGAGGATTGAGACACTGCCATTTTTGTTGCTCAAATGCAGAGTGAGAGGCTGAGAGTGGGAGACACTATCTGCTTCCATCCTTCACAATCTGGTGTACCAGGCGAAGCTGGCTGGGCAGGCTGAGCAATGCGATGAAATGGTCAGTGAAGAAAGTAGCAGGGATGAATGTGGAGTTGACAGTTGAAGGAAGAAACCTCTTATCTGTGCATATAAAAATTTGGTTAGAACTAGAAGAGCTTCCTGGAGAATTATCAGCGACAAAGAAGAAAACAAGGGAGGAGAAGGCAGACTAAAAATGATTTGGGAATATCGGCAAATGGTTGAGACTGAGCTGCAGTTAATCTGTTGTGACATTCTGGGTGTACTGGACCAACACCTCATTCCAGCCCCTAACATTGGCTGAGTCCAAGCTCTTCTATTATAAAATGAAAGGGGACTACCACAGGTATCTGGCTGAATTTGCCACAAGAAATGACAGGAAGGAGGCTGTGGAGAACAGCTTGATGGCTTATAAAGCTGCTAGTGCTGTTGCAATGACAGAACTTGCATCGACACATCCCAATCACTTAGGTCTTGCTCTCAGTTTTTCCATATTCTACTATGAAATTCTTAATTCCTCTGAGCATACCTGCAGGTTGACAAAAGCAGCTTTTGATGATGCAGTTGCAGAACTGGCCACACTGAGTGAGGAAAGCTATCAGGACGCTACATCTATCACACAGTTGTCAGTGATAATCTGACACTATGGACTTCAGACATGCAGGGTGATGGTGAAGAGTGGAATAAAGCAGCACTGCAGGATGTGGAAGATGATAATCAGTGACACTTAAAAGCCAACATGAGAAACCATCTCTGACCACCCCAGACATTCCCATCCTACCCATCTTGGAAATTCCCCCATTGTTACTAAGAATCACCAAATCTGACTTTTACATATGGCCTCAGACTTTAGTTCATGCCCTGTTGGGGTTTGTTGTTGTTGGTTTTTTTTTTTTAATGGTTTTCTGAAGTTCTTAAAGGCAAGAGTGAATTTCTGTGGATTTTACTGGTCCCAGCTTTTAGGATCTTTAAGAACACTAACAGGACTGCATAGAGGCTTTTTCAGCGTTACTGTATTGTCTCCTACAGATGCGGCAAGATCACCATTAGCAATGGAAATTACATTCAAAAGCTGTTAGAATTTTATGTGATGCAAGCATCTAACAGAAAGGTTAATCACACTACTGAGGTGTATGTAGTATCATTTTCCCTTTTTCTAATTCTTTAAATTGAATTTTAAACCAATGTTTAAAATTAATTGGATCTTAGCTTGAGGTGGTTAAAGGTTGTTTGGGGAGTTTTTTGTAATGGTTTTGCTATTGAAAAGTGTTTCTGTTTAAATGTTGAAAAGCATGATGCTGGTAACAGTTTAACAATTGTGGCTGCTCATTCTTGCCTACTTTTACTTTTCCTCTGAAGCAGGTTAGCATTGAAGGTGTTATGGAAAAGCCAGAATGCATGTTCAATTCTATGTTTCTTCTCCTTCCTTTTCCCACTGGGTCCCAGCCCTTCCCTCCTTTGCTCCCTCAGCCTCTTTATTCAGTATGTATAACTTAAAACTAATTTGTATTACTGGATATATGACTTGAGCCATAGATACAGAATCTGTATTGTTCTTACTGAAACACAGCATGGATTAACATTAAACTGAAATAAAAGAAACCCAAATAAAACAAACCTAATTTTAAATAAAACAAACAAAGCTAAACCTAAATAAAACAAACTCCAAATATTATAAGTATAAAGAAAACTATACCTAGGCCCATCAAAAATCTTAAAAACAACCATATTTTTAAAAATTAATTTGTTTTTGGCTACACTGGGTCCTCACTGAGGCACATTAGCTCTTTGTTAAAGTGATCATATTTTTAAAGAGAGTTAGTAACCAGTTAACAGTACAATTGATGGCTAACTATGGAAGTCAGAAGACAATGAAATGACATCTTTAAAGTGCTAAAGAAAAAACCCTACCAATCTAGAATTCTATGCCCAGAAAAATATCTTTCAGAAATGAAGGGAAAATAAATGTGTTCAAAATTTTGTCAAGTGGACAAAAATTCAGAGAAATTGGTTTGTCACTAGTACACATTGGCAATACAGGAAATTTTTATGGGAATTCTTCAGGATGAAGGAAAATGATCCCTGAGTGAACTGCAGGAAGGAACAAAGGCATAGCAAAAGATTAAAATGGATATAATCATAAATGAATATTTACTAAAATAACAATAGGGAATTCCCTGGAAGTCCCATAGTTAGGACTCCACATTCTCACTTGCCAATGGCCAAGATTCAATCCCTGGTCAGAGAACTAAGACTCCATGCTCACATGGTCAATAAATTAACCAATTAATTAAAAAAAGACAACTTAAAGCTAACAATAATATAAATTTTAAAAAATTTTTTATTGGAGCTGATTTACTTTGTTGTACAGCAGAAATGAACACAGCATTGTAAAGCAGTTAATCTCTACCTCCTATCCTACTACTCTAGGTCATCACAGAGCACCAAGCCCAGCTTCCTATGCTGTATAGCGGCTGCCCACTAGCTGTCTGTTTTACATACGGCAGTGCATGTGTCTCATGAGATTTTTAACATAAAAGTAAATCCATGTCAGTATATAAAAATACAAATATATATTTAAATATATAAATAAAATTACACACACACACACACACACACACCGGCTTCCCTGGTGGCTCAGATGGTAAAGAATCTGTCTGCAGAAGACCTGGGTTCAGTCCCTGGGTTGAGAAGATCCCCTGGAGAAGGGAATGGTTACCCACTCCACTATTCTGGCCTGGAGAATTCCATGGACAGAGGAGCCTGGCAAGCTAGAGATCCATGGGATCTCAAAGAGTCAAACATGACTGAGTGACTTCCACAACACAGCCTAAACTTGGAGGCTTCCCTTGTGGCTGAAATGGTAAAGAGTCCACTTGCTTGCAATGCAGGAGAGCCGGGTTCAATCCTTGGGTCAGGAAGATCCCCTGGAGGTGGGCATGGCAATCCATTCTGGTATTCTTGCATGGAGAATCCCATGGACAGAGTGTGTGTACATATATATATATATATATATATATATATATCAGCACCAAAGATGGGAGTTAACTCTTCTAAGGTATCTGCAATAAGTACTAACTGTGAAAGGACTAATTTATAGTAAACTGACATAATCTCTAGGATGACCACTAATATCGTAATAAAATAAGAAGCAATTAAAAAGCTAGCAGTAGAGCAAAATGAAATAATAAAAATTTTTAAAAAGTTGATTAACTCAAAGGAAAGTGAAAAAGGAGGACTAAAAGTACAAAGGATAAATAGAAAGCAAATAGCAAGGTAAATTCAACTGTGCCAGTAGTTATAACTAATGTGAATAGTATAAATATGTCAATTAAAAGACAAAGATTATCAGACTAAATAAAAACCAAAATCTAACCTTGCTGTTTACAAAAAGCTCACTTTAAATAGAAAGACGCAGGAAGGTGAAAGCTAAAGGTTACAAAGTGATGTCATATAAATACTAACCCCCGAAAAGCTGATATGGACACATGGACATTAGAAATTTTTAAGTTAAAAAGTATTATAAGAGAAAAAGAAGACTATTTCATAATAACCAAATTCCTACAGTACTATCCATTTGGTCCAACTTATATAGCCAGACCGGGAGCTTCCCAGGTGGCACAGTGGTGAAGAACCCACCTGCCAATGCAGGAGATGCAAGAGATGCAGTCAATCCCTGGACTGGGAAGATGCCCTGGAGTAGAAAATGGCAACCCACTCCATCATTCCTGCCTGGAGAATCCCGCGAACAGAAGAACCTGTTAGGCTACAGTTCATGGAGTCGCCCAAAGAGTCAGATGTGACTGAACTACTGAGCACACACACATATACAGCCAGACCAGGTTATAAATCACTCGCTGTGAACTGGCTGCCCGTGCCCATCCCCAGGATGTACTGGGGCTTGTGAGAGCTGCCCTTTCAGCAGCTCCAAGGGGGGAAGGTGTGGGTCAGGTTTGCTCCTGACCTCTCCGTGTTTAATGTTCAAAAGGGTACCCAGGTGTGACTGACCAGGCCTCCCTCACCCTGGGCAGGCACTCACCTACTGAGATCTCAGCCTGAATCTGGGGTGTACAACACTCCAAGCTTGACTTTGAAATGTAGTCTTGCCAGGATTCTCATTCCAGGACCCGTGGCCTTATATTGGAAGTTGACAGCCCCTGAACAATCCTATCTTGTTTGGCCTTAGCCACTGTTCCCATGGACAGTGACTATGCAGGCTCCTGACTATGGCTCAGCCACTTCCCTCACCCCAGTGGACAGGCAGGCCTTTGTTGCCCACTTATTGGGCAGGCTGCATAGGGCAGGACCTACAGCTCCCCAACAGGGCTTGATAGGCTTTAGCCACACCTTTTGCCTGCCTGACTAGTCCCTATCCCTGCTCACCTGGGCAGGTCCTGTCCCACTTCAGATGATGACCTGGGCTAGTTTTGGTAGAGACATGTTAACTTGTCCCCAATATTCTCTCAAGTGACATTATCTATCCTGTTGGAGTCATGTTCTCTGTCAGATTTTATTTGTGGTGGCAGGTGAGTGGCACATGATGATTGTGATAAATGATACTAATTAGTTTTAACCTCATTCAAGGTGCCGTGGTCTTGAAGAGTATGAGCTCCGCAAACAGGCCTGGGCTTGAATTCCATCTCTGTGATTCTGACTTCTTTTGAGCCTGAGCGTCCTCATCCTTAAAATGGATTGTGTAGAATAAGTAAAACGATATATGGGAAGTGCTCAGCACAATGCCTGGCCCATGTGTGCATGCATGCTAAGTGCTTCTTTTGTATCTGACTCTTTATGATCCCATGGACTATAGCCTGCTAGGCTCCTCTGTCCATGGGGATTTTCCAGGCAAGAATACTGTAGTGGGTTGTCATGCCCTCCTCCATGGGATCTTCCCAACCCAGGGGTCTAACCTGAGTTTCTCACATCTCCTGTATTAGCAGGCAGGTTCTTTATCACTAGCACCACCTGGGAAGCCCTGCCTGGCACATAGATAATGCTTAATAACCCACTCCAGTGTTCTTGCCTGGAGAATCCCAGGGACGGGGGAGCCTGGTGGGCTGCCGTCTATGGGGTCACACAGAGTCGGACATGACTGAAGCGACTTAGCAGCAGCAGCAGCTATGTTATAAATATTCTAAATAGAGAGACCATATTTCTATTTTGTTGTGGTGGGTTTTTCTATTTTTTTATTTTTTGAATTCTGGAATATTTTAATTGAAGGATAATTGCTTTACAGAATTTTGTTGTTTTTTGTCAAACCTCAACATGAATCAGCCATATGGCTGATTATGTTACAGAACAACAAAATTCTGTAAAGCAATTATCCTTCAATTAAAAAATAAATAAATTTTAAAAAGAAAAAGACTATACCATAGATAACATATTTACTGTTTAAATAATAATGATATAATTAATACCAAGATACTTAATTCACAACTAGAAAATAAAACACAGCCAATTCCTTGGAGCCTTTTGTGCCTTTTCCCATATCATATCTCCTCTCAGCACTCCAGAGGTTGCGACTATCCTGAATAGTATAGTGTAAGTAGAGGCCTTGTTGGGGGCAGTAGGAGACACACCCACTCCTCATAGCCAGGAAGGTCTAGTGGAAGCCAGAAACTCTCATGCCCTCCCAGCAATA